ATGAACGCTTGTTGCTTTTAATTATTGATTATTTTAGTTGTTGAACTGTAATTTGTCTGTTGCTAAGTATGCATTATTTTTAAGTTGTGGTAATTGTTGGACAAAGATGTTATTATAATTCTGCTGCGTAGATGTTCAAGTTGTTAAATTAAGAGATTAAATTATTATACTGATAGTTCATCCGAAGTTTTAAAGTGTTATGTATCCACGTTGAATGCAATGTATTTTTGAAGTTGAATTCGTGGCATCCTGATTTCAGTTGCATGAATTTTATGACTCTGATTTGCATATATAATTGCCAGGAAGAATTTGGGTGTTACAGAAGATGCTGCTGGCTCCAAAGCTGCAGAGAATGTGGTTAATGTTGATGAGTTGTCTGACAATGAGCTCATTTCTAATGTGGTGCCAATAATTGCTAAAAGGCTCAAGACTAGAAAAAGTAAGATTGTGAATGTCACACCCCCTGCCAAGAGTAACAAGAAGAAGACTATGTATGGTCCCCCAAAACTCGAAAGTAAAGTGGTTCCTCCCTCTAACAAAAGAAAAGTTAGACCTAATGATTCCTCAGATGATGATGTCAAGAATAATTCTCCTGTGAAGAGATCTAGAAGTAAGAAGAAAGTTGCATTAGTAGAAGAAGTTGACTCTGATTATGATATCGAGGAAGATGTCCAGGACATCTCTCCTGTGAAGAAATCTGCAAGCAAGAAGCTTTCTGTTATGGTGTCTGATGCTCCTCTTGACAATATTTCCTTCCACTCTGTTGGAAATACTGAAAAGTAGAAATATGTATTTCAAAGAAGAATTTCCCTTGAAAGAGAGTTGGGATCTGGTGCACTGGAGTTCAAAGAGATTATGGAGATGATTTCTTTTGCTGGATTGATGAAGACCATCACCAGGAAAACATGTCCCAGACATTATTTTGACATCTGCATCTGCTGAAAATAAGACTCAACCAAGGATGACATGATTACTGAATTATGGGAAGCCTGCAAAGAACTTGATGATGTGATAAGAGTTAGCTCAGCAAGAAAGCTAACTTTTGAAAAGATGATCAAGGAGATACAGAAGGACAACAACTTTGATGATAGAGTGAGCACTGAAGGGGGACATTCTAGTAATGAAGGAAGTTTTGACTTTGCCAAGTCTACTGGTCCTGAAGACAGTTAGACTATTTGCTGTTTATTTGTTTTGACCCCTTTGTTCCTTTTTGGAACTTGTATGTGCTTGACTCTTGGATTTTATGGTTTATACTTATATTACTGCTACTCTCTTGAATGCATATTTTATTTGGTATACTATGTCTAAAAAGAGGGAGAGAAACTAACTGACCACTGACTGGGGGGGAGCTTAATGTTTGAGGGGGAGACTCATGTCTCAGAAGATGTTCTGACATCTTCCTCTACTAACAACTAACTTAGTTACTTTTGCCAACTGCTAACTGAGTTTTATTTTTTTACTTGTGCTGCTGCTCTGATAATATGCTCAAATATTGTTTTAGCCAAAATTTTCCAAAGGGGGAGTTTGTAAGTATTTGTTGGCAGTAATTTTGGTAAAACATTGACTTGATAATGTTTTGCTAAATACATTTGAAGTAAACTGGTTTTGAATTATGTCAAAGCAGATGTCTTGACATCTGCCTCCTGATCTGAACGTGACTTCATATCTGTTTACAGTTTCTGTTTCCTGTCTTTATGCGTGTCATTATTCAGGATTTATGACTCATAGTTTGCGAAAAATATTGAGGAATATTTTTCTATTTGCTTTATCCTTATGAATCATATCTTGGCATGTTTTCATGGAAATATTCAAGGGATTAGAATATTTGTTTTTCAGCCCAAGCCCACGGTTGCGCCTTTATAAAGACTTGCATCCTTATTCATTATACTGCAACTTTTGAAGAAGAATATATTCTTTCTGTTTTAGAAGTCTAAGTCTTTTTTAATTGTAATACACTCTAAGTATTGGTTTAATACTTGAGTTATAATTTGAGTTGTTAATTGTGGATCATTCATAAACTTTTAAGTATTGAATGATTGAAGTCTTTAAAACTTAATATTTCTGTTGTTCTTCACTGTTAGTGATTGAAGGAATTTGAGGAGGGCCTCATACCTAGGTGTGTCTTAGGTAGAAGTATGTCACATATAGTGATTGAGTGATTAGATTATAAACTGGTTGTTTATTAAGGGTCTATGAATTGATATTATTTAGTGGACTTGTCCCTGGCTTGGTAGCCCCTAGAGTAGGTGTTGTTGTACACCGATCTGTGTTAACAATCTCTTGTATTTTTTGCTGCTTTTAATATTGTTGCATTTTATATTGTCCTTAAATTTTTGTGTCGTGACATCTCCTTCGATATCACATATCTGATACCATAATTTCACATATGTTGCTTCACAATAAGCCTATGTTGGCACTTTTCTTCAAAGAACTCAAGATCATCAGCATTTACTAAGGAGAATGAAGTTTTCAGAACATTTGAGGAAGGGTCAGCCTTGTCCTTATCTTTGACATCACTTTTGTTCTTTGTTACTCTTGGTGCCATGGTTGAAATGCCAAATTGAGCTTGCACAAAATATATTTTATGAAATGTGTGAATGAAGTGGCTTGTTACTCGAGAGAAATATGACAACCCATAAACCCCAAATGTAATATGAAGATGCAATAACACACAACAATGACAAAAATGCAGCAAATGAATGCAACTTCGTGACTTGTAGAACTTGGGTGAAATTTAGAAGAAGTGAGAGCAAACGTTTTATGGAAGAGGAAATTTGAGAGAAATTTTGATGAGTTGTTGGTAAATGTAGGGTTTTATGATTTATGGAGGAGAAATTTATGAGGTATAGTGGAGGATTCAAAGTGAGAAGAAGTGAATCAATACACAATTTGATTTGAAGAGCTTTTGTGATAGATACATGAATAACACCAATGTGAACAAAAATTGATATGAAAGACTCATTTTAACACACGTGTCGACCTGTATAGGTCATGCGTTGACACATCTGATTCATGTGTCGTCACATACTGAACCAAAACTCAAAATTTTGAAAATTTTAATTGATGAGTCGACACATTCAACATATGTGTCGACACATATTGAACCAGAATTCAAAATTTCTGGAACATTTAAAATATGAGTCAACCTATACTCATCATGTGTCGATACATGAAGCGCAAATAATGAAAAATAGGATCTTGGATAGATTTTGGTTGATCCGAATTGACTTATGCATGAATGTTTATGAGAATCATATGCAAATGAACATCTTTCATGATTTGACACTAATGAACATGCATAGACATATATGCAAATATTAAATATAAACAGCATACAATGCATGTGAGAATAGTATGATGAGATTACTATAAACATATGAATTGAAATATATTATAGTTATCAATTAAGATTTTTGGAAATAAACACTCATAACACATAATCACATATCTTAAAAAAATAACCAGGTAAAAGAAACAACTTATTTACAAAGGAAAAATTTGAAACGATATAACTTTACTGTATGAAGATTGGAGGATGCACTTATCGTTTCATAAGAAACTCTTGAACGAAAGTTGAAACAAATACAAAACAATATCACAAAAGCTTTAGACATTAACGTTTTCTCCTCTTTTTTTGTCTCACATTTTTGAACATAAAATTGATGATGCATTATTTTAAAATTTTGTGTCACATGTGAAACCAGACAAATTTTTATAAGAATGTTTGAGAAGTTATTTTTAAACATAAAAATAAAAATTATACATTATTTAAAAAAAAAATAGACACCTCATTAATTCCAATGCAAAAATATGAGAATAAAAATCAAAAAATATTTGTAAAAATTTAAAGATAAAAATTTATAAGTTACACATCATTATAAATTAGAAATATCATCAATTTTCAGTTCAAAAATATGAGAAGAGATCAAAATTGTTTAAATTTAAATTGTATAAACTAAAAAATAAAGGTTTGAAAAATATCGAGTTTAATTTTTAATAAGAACAATGTTTAGTTAATGTTATGACTTCTCGATACGAACTCTAAATTACTAAGATTTCATTCTCTTGTAAACTAGAATGCAAAAGAAGAAGAAAAAAAATAGATAGACTATTTTAGTAAAAGACATTAAATAAAGATACGAAAACTGTAATTAAACCTTTAACTTTCTATCCAAAACAATATTTCATGTTTAATATATTTTAGTTTAATAAATTTCTGTTATATGTTTTCATTGCTTGCATCACCTAACGATCAAATATTAAACTAGTTGGTTTATAGAGTCAAGCATCTTACATGTTTCTTGTTGCACGCGTCTACCAGTTATGCAACAACATATTATCCCTTTCATTTATTCTTTTATTCTAATTGGTACAAAATGATTAAATTGGTCATTATTGTAGGGCATATTGAGTATTTGCCTACACGAAGTAGTAGGCGTTAAGCAATCACATACACCATTCACGGCCATAATATCAACGCGTCTCTTTTACTTTGAGTTTTGACCAGTGGTGCTTCAAAGAATATCGTTTTAAACATGAATCTAGACCAAATACACATAATTCCTCAAACTAGGTAACAACTTGGCCCATGTTAAGTGCGGCATTTCTCTACCTCAATATTCTTGTGAAACAAAAAAAAAACTGTCACATTGTTGACGTATCATAAAGTTGACCCAAATAGAAGCATCTTTAATCTAATCTTCACACGAAATCTTACAAGAAAGCAAGTTGCATTTGTGTTCACAAGTAAAATGGGATGATTTTTACTTTGCATTACAAATCACATGAGGAACAAAAACAATATGTTAGCTACCTCTACTTTTCCATCATACAATCCCTTCCAACCTCCCCCCAAAAAAATATGCATACACCCTCTCTGTACCTTTTTCCTTTCAATTCAAATTAAAAAAGAAAAAATAATTTCAATTTAAAAAAGAAAAGAACACCAACTAATTTAAATTTCAATAAATATAATAAAAATCTCCTTTTAATCGTCGTAACTATCTGTGTCTTGTATTTGTACTACGAATTGTGACACCATGCAAATACTTTGTATAACCGACCAAGCTGAGTTTTCCGTCAGATTTTCTGATCCAGTCACCCATTAAAGAGTAAGCTGAAGGACCCAAATTCATCTCCTGAAGAACATAATATCTCAGAGTGTCAAGTAGGTTATTAGCTTTTAAGACAAGTTAATACAAGTAGGTTTGCTCTTAGAAAGAAATGTTCAAACCTGTGCTAACTCCTCGAGTGAAATGACACGGTTCCCTGCCTCGTCAAAATAATCAAACGCTGTGGTGGAAATTTTATCCCATTCTGGATGAACTTCAAGCTGGTATACACTGATTGCGGCAGCGCAAAACTCTTCGAAATCCAGTTTTTTATAGGAGAGTGGATCCATCTTATTTCAAGAAACATGCATTTCAGATATCTCATAGTATTAAAATTTCCGTAAGGAAAACAACAAAGATTATAATAGTTCAGTTAACCATACAATCCAAATGTGATCACAATGGTACTCAACTTGTTTGCAGTTTATTATATGAACAAACCAAGACATGCTAATGATAGGTTTGGAGCAAATGAATGAGGTTGGTAAGGGGAAAAATCTTTATCACAAAACAAATATGACTTACCAAATTTAGAATGTCAGGGACCCTTGCTTCCCTCATGGCATCAGTTGCATTTTTCATGAGAGCCTGAATTAATTATAATTCTAGTTTAGAGATTGCAGGGAAAAATAGAAAATAAACTACCTACAAAGTTTAAACCATAGAAGACTAGTTTAAAAAATCTAATAGATGACCATAACATATTTACACTAAATAAGGTTAAGAGATAATAATATCGTATGTTTGTTTAAGAATGCATCTTAATGTCATAGAGGAAATAAATATGAAAAACCATCCACTTACAACTCTGAAATTCTCAAGTGAAATGCAACCATCTTTAGGTTCCAAGAGGCTAAATTGTGCTTTAAGGTAGGTAACCTCGTCCTCTGGTAAAGCGTTTGAGAGAGCCTGCATTGGTATAAAGAAAAGGAAAACTGAAAATATTACTCTTCTAGTCTTCTTCAGTTATTCCCAGCCTTCAAAAAGGAGAAAAGGACTGGAGGATAAAAGATGCATTTGAAACAATGGTAGCATAACAGGTGGCTACCTTCAATGCCGAACGTTTCAAAGGCGAGGCACGCACGTATGACTTGACTAACTTGTAAATTAGAATATCTAAAGGAATGGCATTTCCTTCATTTTTCAACCATGGGTGAGCTGCAGATATGGAGGTAATTTCAACATTAAGAATCACGGAATAAGATTTAGGAGTATTTGTGTGTGAGAATTTCAGCACGGAGAATTAATCTTTGAGTTAAGCATGGTCTGAGTAAAACATTCAAATGAAACATACATAGAGCTTGAGCAGCTGTCATCCTTTTCCGATGGTCCTTGTTCAAAAGTCTCTTCACAAAGTCTTTGGCTTCTGGTGATATTGATGGCCAAGGTGAATCATCAAAGTTAGGGTTTGCTCTTAACACAGACCGGAAGATTCCTGATTCAGTCCGTGCCCAAAACGGTCTACTTCCACATAACAATATGTACGATATAACTCCAATACTCCATAAGTCTCCTTCAACACTGTAAGATCTATGGAGCACTTCAGGTGCAACATAATAGGCACTACCAACAATATCATTAAGGCGTTGATCTGCATGTTTATAAGTCAGTGCTGTCAGTGGCAAAACTGATAGAAGAACGAAAATGATCATAAGGCAGAATAAATAATAAATACTTATTTTGAACAATTGAGGCAATTTTAAACCTAGAGTTAATGCATGTTCTGAGATTCATCTAAGCCAGTAAATTAGTGAAAATCATTTTTGACAAACAAATTGTATTTATAGCTGAGAAAAGAATGAAGCTTTTCTCAATATATCTTTCATCATTTTCACCAAAGTAGAAAATAACATTAACTATGAGAAAAGCTAGCTGCCGTTGATTTGGAGAATGATTCCAACCCAATAACTTAGATGAATACAAATATCATAAGTAAATAAGATCTTATGATTCGAAACGGGTACTACTAGTATATAAACTCTGATTATATAGTTTCGATCTCATTTGTATAGATAACTTACATAAAGAGAGAACAAAATATCGTACAAAATGTTGACAGGAAGCAAAAGCCATTTAAACTTTGTTAAAAAAGGTATTTAAAGATATTTCAAGAGTGGCATATCAATGTTGAAAATTAATGACTGGTGAATTATGATATGGGAAAATATCACAGTTCCTACGTTCGGTTATTTTCCAGCAATTCGAATGTAGAATTCTACCATGCAAGTGTACAATATGCTAAAGCTAAACTACGAAGAAAATTAAATACAAGTCAGTAACTACTACAATAGGTTTTATTATAAGTTTATAACATTTGATACTGAATATAATTAGGTCGATTCGATCATAGTACCTGGCCGAACAAAATCAGATAGACCAAAATCAATAACTTTCAGAACAGCATCCTCATCTTTTGAGAGAAAAAGAAAATTCTGCAAAGTAGGCAAAACATCTAGGGTTACAAGTTATAGATTAGAATGGTAATTATACAAACAAAAAAAATTCCTTATTCAACAAAAGGTTTGACCAAGTAATGTAAGTGGTTCAAACTTCACAATGCCATACCTCTGGTTTTAGATCGCGATGAACAACTCCTTGAAGATGACAAAAGGCAACTACATTCAGAATTTGTAGAAGAATAACTTTGGCATCCTCCTCTGGGTATCTTCCACCTCTTTAATAAATAATTAACATCAAATGAATCCAATTACAATCATGTTATTCAAAAACAGAACTCCTCCAAGAAAAAGTAAGGACAAAAAAGTAACAGAGTACAGATAAAAAATAGCCTTTCGGTTTTACCTATCTAGAATTCTGTCCAGTAATTCTCCACCCTCGCATAACCTAACAAGAACAATAATATTAGTTCAGGATAAATGACTAGTTTAAAAGTTGTATGTACTACCCAGCTTTAAATTATGCTCATATTTTGAAGATTATTGAAAACATGTACTAGTGATGAAATCCTTTACAGGAAAAATCTTCAGGAGAACACAAATCAACCAGTACGTTAAAATACAAATAAAAGCTTATCAACACTGAAAGCAATTTTCATATATAATTGTTTCTATACGTACTCCATCACAATGTAGACATTATTCACATCCTCAAATGCTTCATAAAACTTGACCAAATTCCTGTGTCCGGACAAGGCTTTCAACATTTTCACCTCCCTTCTCACGTCTTCAATTGCTATTGCCGAAGTCATCTGGCATGTGAAAATCACAATAAGCGCCATGAAGCAAAAATTATAATGCAAGAACGAAAAAAATGCTTCAAAATCAAAATTCAATTTATGTTGACATATCGTTGAAAAAAAACAGAAGCTACATGCCTACAGCCATAACATAATATATAATTCCCCCAACCCAAATCATAATTTACTCTAAAACTCCAACTTGGTTGTGTAGAGAACAATGAAAAGACACAGAAGTAAAGGGTCATCTTTTGCTCATGCTCTTCCTAGAAACATCGCCTATCAGAAGCCAAGTAGCTAAAATGCAGTTCTAAGTTGTCTGATGCCGATAGGCGTTGCAATAAAGGTAGGTAGAATATTTGTAATGGTTCATCAACAGTCAACAAGAAAGGTGTTGTTTTTTCCCTTTCTCCGTGAACTCAATTTTCCTCTTATTAAGAAATATGCTACCCTACAATTTAGTTCATAATGGAGGTGCAAAACAGTGACAAATACCCAGGTCTGGTACATGCATTCTTTAGTCTACAAGACTACAACTAAGCACCAATGTGCTTAGTTGCTTACTAATCATCTAACCAGAAGCCTAAAATGCTTTTTATCAAACAAACAGGTAACTTAAATGGTTTCATTTCATCCATCCTTGTGCTTGGCAACAAGGGGGATATGACCAATGAGCGTCCCCGTGCAAACAAAGGAGCCCCTACCGATTGAACCACTACCAATGGGCCATTAACAGAACCAAAAATGCAACTGATCTCCCTTGCTAGAGAGGTTGCAACTTCACTTCTTTCTTATTGTCTAATGCCGTGTCCCAATGTTTGCCACCCAGTGCTACAAGGCTCCTACCATAACACAGTTGAGAGAAGAGTTGGACCATTTGTTGTAAGCAACTTTACCTTCCATTTGTGCAGTATTTGCAGGAGGCCAATTAAAGAGCTGTAGTTGTCTAGTCCTAGTCACATAGTAACGACTTCAACAAATTCGCCACCCTGATCTCAACAACTTATTCTAATGCACCCAATAAACCAACCCGCATTAAAAGAAATCGGTAGCAGCGAAATTTGTTTGTCACCATCATACTTTCCCAATAGTTTCCCTTTAAAAGAAGTATTATCTGGCATAATTAATTCTGTAATGTTTGGCTCTCCGTACTTTCCAATTTTATTGGAAAATAGATTTTCAAGCATTTTTCTTTCCCGTACCAGCATCTGTGTAGTTAATGATGGATAGTGGAGCATGGTGTCCAACCCCCAAAACACTATAGCAGTACAGCAGATAGAAACATAGCTGTTACCTCAATTAAAGACACAATCATAACTAATAACCGAAATTCAGTATTACCAATACTCGAACACAATTTAACAACAAAAAAACAGAGGCATTGCTGGGTTTTTGAGCTTCATTGTAACGGCCACTACAGAAACTGCTTGGCAGCTACTACATCTTCTATTTAAAAATGCAACACCCTGGATTTCGAATAACCCCTAGGTTCCGCTATATCGCACATCACCGCTATAGCAGCTACCATTGAGTATTGACTACCGAAACCAACATTAAGTTAGAAAATGACAACAACTTAATAGTATAAACAGTAAAGCAACACCTAACATTACCAATTAAATCATTTGAAACTTCAATGCAAAACATTAGCAATAACAAAGGTTATACTAGCTTACCAAGTTCCATTGTCATATATTCATATTGTACCAAGCTAACACAAAATTCAAGTCAATTATAAAAATACTCAGAAAAGTCAACAATTGATCATGAATTGACCAAGAGTACTATGAAATGATCTCCAGAATTGACTTTGAATTGAAGCTCAATTTTAAAGCAATGATCATGATCAAAAACAATATGATCCTAATTCTCACCTTAGCTTTGGTTATGATTTTCACCGCCACTGATACTCCTTTGAGTTCACCTTTCTTACCTTTAGCCCAACAAGTATGACCAAAATGCCCTCGACCAACTTCCTTCCCAAGCTCAAATTTCGCCCCAAAATTCTTCCCATATCCAAAGCTCTTATCCAACGTCCTCTCTCCTTCACCACTCTCCCCTTGCTCCTCAGGTATCGGTCCGTCTTTCGGTTTCGTCTTCCCCTGCCTCCGTAGCAAAGCCGCCATTATCGGCTTTGCGGGAGATGGAGGAGGAAGCGGCCACCTGAATTTCCTCCCCGGAGTCCTGGCAGCCGGTGACGGCGCCACACCTGCGGGAAGAGGACTATTGAAAGGACTAGTGGAAAACGATGTCGCGGGGGTTTGTCTCCCCGGAGTAGCATCACTGACGCCGGAGACTGAGTTTCCGGCAGGGTGGGAAGTTTGTGATACATCGTGGTTAGATGATTTGAGGTTGTGATCGGTTGCGACGGTATCGGTGTCGACTGCAGTGTTTTTGCTGCAGCAATGACCCATGGTGGCGGCAGTGGTTGTGATCGGTGGTGCAAGTCAAAGGTGTGAGAAGAGAGGAAAATAGTCGCCGGAGAAAATGAGAAAAGAAGGGGAAAAAAACAGTGTAGAGAGAGAAAATATTAGGACAGAACTGAAAAAAAAGAGTTAAATTTTTGAAGTGAAATAGATAGAGAGAGAAAATAAATATAGTTTGACAGAGTCCAACTGTATTCATTTATGTGTGAAAGTAAATTGCTTACTACGTTGGTTGGAACTTTTTATGCACCTTCGTGTTTTTCGAATTTCGATTCTAAATTATATTCATTTTTACATTTTATTTTCTCAAACCCATCGTTTTGGAGTTTGTTGGGAGAGGTAATGCTAGATTTTGGGGGAGAAAAAAAATAACATCATATGCCAATTGCGATAGTAAATTTCAATCATTAGATTATTTGACTAAAAAAATAATTATTACTTTTTATCTTATTTAACTTATATAGATAATATTACAATAAACAGAATTGTCTTTAAAAAGTTATGCTTTTTTCATAAATTAAAGTCGTAATAGATTCAATTTTATAAATTAAGAAAAAGATACTAAAAAGTAAATAAATAATAAAAAACATTAAAACTATTAAGTAAAAATTTTAATTTAATATTTTGACTTAATTGTAGTTTTAGTCTATTTATTTTATCTGACTTATAAAATTTGTTTTTTATTTTAACTTTAAATAGTTTTAGTTTATATATTAACATTTAATATTAAAGAAGTTTTTATTTTTTAAATAATAAATTTTTTGCTAAATAATACAAATTATATAAGTTTTTTTTTAATATAATCATTGCAGATTATGAATTCATATATTTATAAAATTTATAAAAAAAAATAGAAGGTAGATTAACAACAACCTATTTTAGAATTTTATAAATAAATATATATGTAAAAAATGGTCATCGTATGAGTTTTTTATATAATAAAAATATGAAAAGAGACCAAAATTATTTGATATTAAAATAAGAAGGTTTATTTTGTGAATTGGATAAAATTAAAAGACAAAAAATGTAAAATTATTATAAGTCTAATATCTTTATAAAAAAAATAATAGTTTAAAAATTGAACCGCATAATAAATCGATAAAATATATGGATCAAGGTTCAACCGTTTAAACCGTGGTTGGGTCGTGTATTAAATTTAAATTAAAAAGTTAAATAAATATATTTTTAAATATCTTAATAAAATTATTTTATGTCGTAATTATATAATAAAATTCTCAAACAAATATAATTAACGAGCTTACGAAAGAAAAAGAATGTAATGTAGAGTCCAATAACGAATCCGAAAATTGTCATAATTCCTTAACTCACACAATGTGATTCAACATCAAGGCAGAAACCTTATTTCACCGATTTTTGGTTATTTATTAGCATAATTTTTCTCACCTTTTTCAAGATAAACACCCCTTACACCATATTCCACAAACACTACATTATTTATTGTTCTTCTATTTACATTTACATTTTTCCATATCTTCCAATTTTATTTTTTATTTTCTATACATATAATTTCTTTAATTATTTGTTATAATCAATTTTTAAAATCTAAACAAAGAAAACAAGAGAAGTAAAATCAGTATTTTAAAAACCAGAATAAATTGATTGGTTGGACCGGTTGAACTGGGAATCAGATGGGTCACCGATCAGGTCTGATTGTTGGACCATATATGCTATTGAACCGGTGGAAACCGACTAAAACCAATCAAAACCGATCAAAACTAGTAAAAATTGGAGAATCGACAGTTTTCAAAAACTGACGGTTCAAATAGATGCTTTTTTTTTCTCGTACAAAAGAACGTTATTTTTATTAAAAAAAATTAAATTAAAAAATAATTTGACTTTATTCAAAATTTATTTAGAACAATTTTTCCTTGTTTGTAATTATACTTCGTTCAAAATTTATTTAAATTTGTATTTTGTATTATTTTGTTGTGAGTGATAATTATATTTGAAACTTGAATTTAAAGAATGAATATGTAAAATTATGATATTTTGAAAATTTATATTTTTTTAAGTGTTGTGATATTTTTTTAAGACCGAGTCATCTAATTCGATCGATTTAATAAATATACAATTTTTTATAGAGACCGAATTATCTGATTTAGTCATGCGATCCGACCAGTGACCCGGTGGTCTGACCAATGAACCGGTGACTTAGTACTTTCACCAATTTAACGATAGGTCTGATTTTTAAAACGTTGAGTAAAACATAAAAATTAATTTTGATTTTTTTGAACCATCTGATTCAGTGAAATCGATCATAACTTAATAGTTACTTCGATTTTTTGCGATTAAAATAATTTTGTCTAAATTTTATAAATCCAATTTATTGATCCAAACCGAATCGAATTATAATTCAAAATTGAACATTCAACTAAATAGTTCGATCCAGTTTTTAAAATATTATAAAAAAAACATAAATAACAAAATAAATTATATTATATAGATTTAATTATAGTTTTGGACTAAAATATAAACATTTAATATATTTTAAATGAATTGTAATGAATAGATTCAAATAGTCTTTAGTGTTTTGATTTATTTTCTACACCATTGCACAATTTTATTTTTTTGATGAAAATAAGAAAAACTATACTCCTATTACTTTTTTTAATAAAAAATAATATATATAATTAGAACAGCGCCGCATAGAAGAAGGTTTCAAATTTAGAAAATTGTACAGCTTGGAAACAATGAATATTTATTTATGTTTTTCTTGTCGAATAGTAAGCCTATAATGAGATAAAAAACATAGTAAAGCTTTGGAAGACCGAGGAATATGCGAGGATTATTTTACCAGAAAAAGGAAAACACGTTTATTAATTTCAACTTTATTTTTCTTAATTAGTCAAATAAAAACATCAACTTTATTGTTTAATGGCTAAACTATTATTTGATCATGAATGGCATCACATTAACATTTTGACATTTGTGTGGTATAGTAATGCCAAAGACATTAAAATTGGGTTTGGTGTTGTTGAACTACATTTATTTAGTGTAATAATAGCTAAAGGGGAAAAGCACTTAAAAGCATCAACAATATGTAGGTGTTTTATCAAGAAATTTTTGTTATGGAGAAATAATTATGAAAGGAACCTGTTTTTTTTTTTTAATTTTTTTGCAGATTCTATTTAATAAATATTCTTAAAATAAAGTAATTTAAAGTTATTAACAAGATTCACCTAATAATATTTTTTTTATCAAGTATCTAACATAATTTTAAAATTCAGACTGATTCAATCGAACGGATCAATTAGACCGTAAATTTAAAGATAAAACATTTCGATAAAATTATCAGATTATTATTAAAATTGATCAGATAAAAATTGATGTGACTTGACCAATTTCCTAATTAAATTAGTGTACTGATAAATTCATTGATCTGACATTGATTTTTTTTATGTTTATTATTTTTTTAACTTAATTATAATTTTGATCTTTATTTTTATTTTTTTTAAGTTTTGGTGCGTTTATTTTAAAATCTGACATACCAAATTTATTTTTTATATATAACTTGACATTTCAAATTAATACTTTAATACTATGAAACACCGGCAATTTAAACATAATTATAATAAATAGACACTATATTATAAAAATTCAAATTATATACTAATATTTCAAAAGTAAGAGCTTTTATCCTGCCATTTCCCAATTTTGACTGCATACAGACATCCTCTATGTTTTTATCATATTAACTATGTATAATATTATAATTTATTTTACAAAAAGTATTTGAACAATTTGATTTTTTTAAAGTTAAGTAATTTCAAACATTTTGTTGTTGATAATAAGTAAGTTTGTTTTTTTATCGCATATTTAAAAAAATATGGTAAAAATGTAAAAAATAATTCTACATTTAAAAAAAAAACGATAAAAATTTAAATGTTTAACCAATTTTTTTTAATTCAGTAAAAAATATATGTTTTTTATAGAATTTTTTTTAAAATGCGGTAAAAATGAATAAATGTTTTTAGATTTTTCAAAATATCCGCTAAAAATACATACGTTCAATCGGACATTTTAAAAAATCCAGAAAAAGGTATGCATCTTTATTGACGTGATAGAGTTGTTGCTGCGAGGGCTCGAGAAAGGGGAGGTGACGTAGATGACTCGCATCTCCGGACGGAGAGAGTGGTATCGATCGGTTCTCACAAGAGGCGGTTGGCTGATCAGGCTCAGATCCGTGCACTCCGCATTATCCGACGTAGAGGATCTGGATCTACTTCTAGATGGACGAGAGATGATGAAGATGAGCCAATTAATGTTTAGGCACCGGTTCAGGATGACATGTAGATGGTGGCAGAGATAGATGTGAAGGTGAGAAAAACACATGAAGGGATTGAATTGTGTTCACTTTTTCTTTCTTCTCTAAAGATCTCTTATCATATTATAAACACAAGGTCTAAAATCTGATTTAGAGTTAAGTGATTGCAGTGGATAAAAACAGTTTAGTAAGAGAGTGAAAGAAAAAGAGACACGAGCAATTTATCATGGTTCCTACCTGTTGTATCCAAAATTTTTTACCTAATATCTTACCTCTTTTTGCATCATTTACATAGCATCAAGAGATCATATTATTCATCTTGGTATCACTAACCTCATGTATGTTCAAGGGTTTGTATTGTTTGTTTCTTTCACAAGATAGATGTGTTGGATCAAGGAGTTCAAGTATTTTGATTAGAGACATATGGGTTCCTTAATGATTCAAACTTCTCACTTATTCATGATGGTCAAGTGGTTTTCCTTCATCAATAATCAAGCTCAAGTGTGCATCATTTAATGTTCATCAAGTTTCAAATTCATCTGCACCTCAAATTAAGGTTTTTGATCAAAGTTGACTAAATGTTGACTTTTGCCTAAAGCTTGATCTAATGGTTTGAAACTTGATTCAAGGTTATCATATGCTTCCTTATGGCCCTCTCATGTGCCCCAATTGGCAAAAGAAGTATGATTCATTGATAAGTTGA